GCCGCTGCTGAAACTGACCAGCAGCGGCTGAATCAGGGACGCCTGGGACAGAGCTGGACTTGGAAGGGGGGGCTATGAGGGATCTGGGGCCAGACCCCTCATAGCCCCCCCTTCCGATAGTCCGGCATATTTGATAATCCGGCACCCTCTGGGTCCTAAAGGTTCCGGATTATCGGAAGTTTACTGTATTAGTTATCAATTGTTCATAATTATGCTGGAAGGGCATAATGAGTGGGATTCTGCAGGGATCAGTCTGGGGGCCTGTTCCGTTCAATATCTTAATGATTTAAATAATGACACAGTGAGTGTCCCATTTGAGGATGACTCCAGGCTGGGAGGAGTTGCAAGTGCCTTGAGGGATGGAATTATAATTCAAAGTGATCTGGACAAACTGGAGAAACGGTGGGAGGTAAATAGGATGAAGTTTAATAAGGACAAAGGCCAAGTACTCCACTTAGGAAGGAACAATCAATTGCACACACACAAAATGGGAAATTACTATGTAAGAAGGAGTACTGCAGAAGGGGATCTAGGGGTCATAGTGTACCACAAGTTAAGTATGAATCAACAGTGTGACTCTCTTGCAAAAGTCACAATGCTGACTTTGCCCAGTGCTACAGCATAATACATCTGTAGCACAATCATTTTCAGACAAACTTTCTTAAATTGGATTTTAAGAGTGTAAGTAGTTCAGGAAAAGAAATATTTAATTTACCAAAACAAAAACCCAGAAAATACTGAAGAGCTGCAAACTCCTAAGTGAAGTTAGAAGTAAGAATTTGATTTATAGGAAGGCCAGTTGAGGTACCATAAACCACCTTCATGGTGTCTCATCTTTCATCCTCCACCAAAACACACAGCTATACATACTTCATGGTCTGTATTAGCAACATATATGCTTTGCACTGTCTGCAAAACATCCCTTTTACATCCATGCATCCTGCACATCCTGACATTTTTCCAGTTCTCATTGCTTAAGCCACCTGTACTATGCTTACTGTTTCCCAGATGTCCCAGTCGTGACTGAGGTGTGATTGTGCTGGGGCTGTACACACTAATAGGCATATCTGAAGAGATTATTTATCTCTTACTGCCCATGTGCAGACATATCCTTTCTCATCATCTTCCAGCACCCGCTGGTTAAACAGAACCGGTGAGCATCACCTGTTGAGAGTGAAGCTTAAAGGTTAACTGGTTAACCTTTCATATCCCTCTAGGAGATCGGGTATGAATCAGTGCAAGCATATGTTCAACAGAGTGAGTTGAGGTTTTAACCTTCTAACATGCTCACTGATAAAGCTCACCCAACCCACCAGTAAACCATTGTGTACAGTATTGGTCATAGTGTAGCTCTGGCTTGTCTCTTAAACTCCTGCCCTGCAAAGAGGGGAAAGGTCTTTTAAAATAAATTGATGATGTTAACCCTGCAGAGCAGGCTCCAGTGACAAGTGCTACCTCTCAGGACATTCCTTGCTATTTGACCTGCCATCTGTACACTGGAAGAAGTGAGTGGAGTCTGATGCATATATGTATAGTGCCTGGTCTGTAAAAAATGCATTGAATATTTTTGAATGGTAAAAAGCTCATGGTGTAACTTATGGTACTGATACCTGCCAGTACTGATGGAGCATAGGGACCTCAGTCAAGCTAATGCATTGTGCGTGCTATTCATTCTGTTCTAAAGCCTGCTGGCAGAAGCTTTTGTTATAGAAACCCCCCTACTGGGCTGAGTGACTTGCCAATGCCAGGCCTGGAAGGAAAGAACAGCTTCCCTGGAGCGCTTATCCTCATTGTGTTCAGGTTCAAACACGTGAAATCTTGTGATGAGCTCTGTTGGAAGCTAGCAGTTGAAGCCTTTACTGAAGCGTCCTCCTGCTAGCTCTGAGTAATGACAAGGCCTTTAAATGTCAAACCCGTTATTTTGCATTGAAATTTATGTGATAGTGCCCTTGCTTGGTGTCTTAAAGCAAATGACACAGTAATAACACAGGTTAACTTCCAAAGGTAACCACAGCACATTGCTTGAAAACTCGGTCTTTTCACTCATTTGGAATACTGGGCAAAAAAAGTACGTTATTTTGAGTCACAATTATATAGCAAAATAAAAATAATTGTACTGATACACATTTATGGTACTACTACTACTTTTTACGTATATATTATCAGTTGGTGCAGGAGATTATATACACACACATTAGTTGCATGCTTCACATGTTGGCCTGCATATCTGCTGTGGAATCAGTTTATTATTGTACATACAATGTCTTTCATCTGGAATCTTCTTCTAATCTTCTGTTTGGGCTTGAGACAAACCTTAAAACATTCCTTTGTATCATATTACTCTTCTGCTGGTCTGAGCAATTAGTCTGCTACACTTTTGCAAGTTGGGAAGTCCAAGTCTGTTTGGTTTATTTTGTTGGAAGTGATTCTTTACTTTTTTTTGTGTTTGATTCACCCACTCTTTCACAATTGAGTGTGTTCTGATTTTTGGAAGTGATATAAGGATTGTTTCCCCTTCTGAGTCATGACTGCGTGCCACAAATGCTGCTGGCGTCAACATCCCAGTTGTGTAGAAACTGAATATTGTTGCTACATCATGAGTTCATGGGTTAAAAAAGCATAGAGTTACCACTGGTACTACAGACTCTGGTATCTAAGACTGATTCAGTTAAGCAAAGAAATGTAATGAGGTGGGGCTGTAGCGGTAGTGTGCCCGTGCTGCATAGGATGTTGGATCAGTAGTGCTTTTTCCTTGATTTCTTGGAAGGTTCCTAAAGCTAAGTGGAGTGTCTGAGTGTTTGTGTTAGGGATGTGAATGGCTCACCAGTTCAGGTTAACCTGTGGGGGCTGGGGATGCTCCAGCTGGCCCACTGCATGCAAGGGCTGCTCTGAAGTCCCAGACAAAGCAGCCTCTGTCCATGGCAGGCCCAGGTGCCCTGCAGGCAGGAGCTGTTGCGGTTGGGCTGTAGCCCCCCCCCCCCCATTTGTCTGTTAACAGCTAAACATTATTTAACCAGTTAACCAATTAAACAGGATTTTACATCCCTAGTTTGTGTTATGAATTACTAGATTATCCTGTGCTTGCCCATGTTTTCTGATATGCTAATAGCTGTTGGGAGACCATACTGAGGTAGCAGCATGTTCAGACTGATTTGAATGATGAAATTTTAAGCAGAAATGTGAATCCTGACATCAGCAGGCACCAGGCATGTGAAAAAGGGAGGTGTAATGGAGAGGGATAAAAGGGTGGTGTGGAGAAATGAAACTGCATGTTGGACTCCTGAATGCGCTGTAACATGCACAGCTTCTCCCTCGTATGGCACGTACAGGGCTTTCATTCTGCTTTAAGTGCTTTTAACAACTGACAGCCTGCATTTTGCTTTTCTCTGGTACAGAAGAGGAAGATGTAGAGGAAAGTGAACCAGTCAAAAAGAAGAAAAAGAAAAAGGAAAAAAAACAAAGAATCGAGGAAGAGGCAGCTTCCACTGAAGAGCCATCCACTAGCACAGCAATGGAGGTGAGATGAGAATTCTTCTCAATCGGTGTCTCCAACCATTCTGTGCCAAAGATCACTTTTTGAGTTTAAGGGAAACCCAGAAATTCTGCCCCCTTCCTGAAGCCCCACTCCTTCCACAAAGCCCCGCCTACTCTATCCCCTTCTTCCCCTGCCTTGCCTTGGTTGTTCCCCCCCCCCCACCATACACACTCACTGTCATTTGGCTGTGGCAGAGGGTTGGGGTGCTAGAGGAGATGAGGGTGGCAGGCTCTAAAAGGCATAGGCGGAGGATCCAAGTTGGGGCAGAGTTTTGGGGTGCAGGAGCAAAGAGTGCAAGCTCTGGGAGGGAGTTTGTCCCAGCCTGTGCCCAGATTTGCATCCAGAACCCATATCCCTCACTCCTTTCTGCTCCCCAATGCTCTGGGAGGGAGTTTGGGTACAGGAGGGGGCTCCAGGCTGGGACAGTGTTGAGTTCAGGACAAAGTGAGGATTGTGGGCTCAGAGAGGGAGTTTGGAGGCTGTCTGGGGGGTGGAGGTGCTGGCAGCAGCCAGGAAGCACTTACGACAGACAGCTTCCAATCTGCAGTGCAATAGTTCGGGCAGCCTGCCTCTCCCTGACCCCAGGAGGCTCCTGGAAACTCTGGCTGGCTGAGTGCAGGCACCCTCTGTGTGCAGCCCCTGGAGGAGAAGGGGAAGATCTGCCCTGTGCTTCATTGTTGCCCTGAACCTGCAAACGCTGCCCCTCTTGGCCAGTTCCCAGCCAAAGCAAGCTGCTCTGACCATGCTGGAGTCAGAGGCAGCACAGAGCTGCCCTTCCCCAGGGCTGCAGAAACTGCTTGCACTCAGTCAGACTGCTGCTCTGGAAGAAGTGGCTCTGCAGGCAGCGCTTCTCTGCAGTGTGCAGACACCTGTGCACCTCTCCCTCGGGAGCTGCACCAGGTAAGCACCCACGTGCCCTGCTCCTGCACACACCCCACCCAGACCACACACCCTGCTCCTGCTCCCTCCCTCCTTCCCAGAATATCCATCCTGCTCCTGCACTGTCCCTCTGTCCCATCCAGCCCCCCACAACCTTTCCACATACTGAATGCCTCATTTTTGGCTGCACCCCAGAGCCCTGGGGAGGCCCCCATAAAATCTAGTTGGACCCTGAGAAGACTCTATCCCAGAGCTGAATTAGCACGGAGCTGGGGAGTGAAATGAGTACCTTTCTTTTTCCCTGCTTCTCAGTTGGGGGCCGCATCTGTAAGGCGGTATTTTGTTTTTTGTGGGTTTTTTGCTTCTCACGCGTGTTGGTCCCCAACTGATTTGTTTTTTAGTCAGTCACCTCCAACTCAAAATAGGTTCCTCCCCCTTGTAAGGCTAGCTCTGCAACCCCTCAAAATGGATCTCTCCAGTCCTTGATGGTGAGTTTTGTGGGGGCAGGGAGGAAGAAGCATTGCTAGCAGAAGCTCCTTCAGACTACACCCTTTCCCATTCAGCAGCCCCAGCTGTTCCACTGCTCAAAACCTTCCGGTCTTTCTCTCTGTAATCCCCAAACCCATGATGTTGCGGCCACTGTACATTGGGAAGCTATGGCAAGTTGAGGGATGATTTTTCAACCATGTTGTGGATTGTGGGCCAAAAAGGTTGAGAGTTTCTGACAAACATTACTCCTTAGCAGGTGTGAAAGTAACTTAAGTTTCTCACAGGTACTGTTGTATCGCACCTTCTGGGGGGGAACCTCAGGGTTGGGGGACGTGCATACCACAGTAACTGTTAGAAAATGTATGTATGTGTTGCAGGGAGGGGCTCAGGACAAGGGGGCGTGTGGGTGGTGCAGCAGTTGGTTTGGGGATGAGGCGGAGCTATGAGCGGAGGTGTGGGAGGCTCAGAGCAGGGGAACTGTACAGGTACAGAAGTTGGTAAGGGGCTGAGGGTGGGGGGGCTTAGGGCAGGAGGTTGAGGCGTGCAGGAGTGAGTGCGGGGGGCAAAGGTGCCGTTTCATGAGGGCGGGGGGTGCAGCTGCACATACGGGATCACTTCTGTTCTTCCTCTTCTCTTGCTGGTCAGCGAGCAAGGGGAAAGTGCGTAGTGTGTGGCATTCCTCCTGTACCCCCTCCCCTTAGCAGCGGGGAGTGAGAGGAAGGCGCGCAGCCTGCACACTTTCTCCTTCCTCCCTGACAGTCAGGGAAGGGGAAGAGCATCAGAGTTCAGGATATGCAGTGGTTGGCGGGAGGGGGCTAGAGCAGCCTTGGATGAGAGGTGGAGGTGCATACCCTCATAGCCAGCCCCTTTCACCTGCCTGCTTCTTAGAAAGGCAGCCTGGCAGGAGAGCTCTGGGAGCAGCTGCAGCCAAGTGCCCTGCTGGCTGAGTGCTTCTTGTAGTTTTGGGAGTAATTTTTGGTTCCCACATGTGAGTGCCCCCCTATTGTTATATGGGTTAATGGGCCCCGACTGAAAAAAAGGGTTTCCCATCCCTACCTTAGAAATCAGTCTGTTCTGTGACTGAGCTCCATATTTGTAGCCTTCAACTTGCCGTGCTTTACATTGGAGGTGACTGTTGGTTCCCGGAGTCCTGTGAGCATCCTTTTCTTTTGAGACTAGAGAAGGAAATGAATGAGTGCATCCCTAATGGTAGAACGTGAACATTTGTAAACTGCTTTGTGAATATGAGCAGCACTGACCAAGTGCTGTGTTATCTATCTGTCCCGGTTGGTGTTCTGAATTTCCTGTTACATTATCATTTCGTCACAGAAGTATTTCTCTTGATTTGTAGAGTACAGAGAAAAAGAAGAAAAAGAAGAAAATCAAAATAGAACAAGAGGACTAATGGGGAAGAAATAATTCCTTTGGACACTTTACTTCAGAATATATTCACTAAAACACTTTCTCTTTAAATACTTACTCAAAACCCAATAATAGGAGAGGGCAGGTGAGCTTGATAAGTATATGCCTGCTCTTCTTCAGAACAAAATATGTTTTTGGGTGGGCCACTGCCTTATTGCAATTTATTTGAGAAGCTCACAATAGGTCTTTGTTCTATTGTGGTCTTTTGTGATACCGAATAAAACTGCTTTTTGTATACATCTTGAGCCAAGTTTGTTTTGCCTCTTTCTGATTTTCTGGTACACAGTAACCAATTTCACTAACGTTTCTAAGTCAATGTGATTTTGTAAAATTTGTGACCATGAAGAGAAGGATCTGTCTTTTACCTTTTTTTAAATGTTAAGAGGTTTTTGTTGTATATTTTTCCAAAGTCAATTCAAAAGGTGTAGTACTATTCCAGTGTTAAGATATACCCTAAAATTAATGTAAATAGCTGTGTATTCATAATAACGTTAATCTTTACAGAAGAATTGTGTATAGAACAGAAGAGCTACATTATCAGTGTACAGTGCAGTTTTAATGAGACCTTGAGAGAATTTGGAAGCAAAGATTACAAGATTTTGCAGATGACTGATAAAACAGACAATTAAGTTTATAATAATGTGAGTGAACTTCTAAATTGTCTTTTGTGGCTATTTAACAATTCCATTTTACTTGACACTCAAATTCAAAGGATTGAGTTCATCAGTTGCTTAGTGACTAAACTGAAAAGGAAAGCTTTTATTTTGCTTTCAAAATATACATGACTCATTTTAACTATTGCTAAGTGTTTGTATTGCTTCTGGGTAGGAAACGGTATACTGCCCTGTTGAGCCTTCGAAAGACTTATTAGACCCTGATTATAAGGTTTGCTATGGAAAATCAAATTCAACCTTTATTAGATAATCAACCTTAGCCCAACATTTAGTGTAGATTACCCTTGCGGCAAAGCTCTGCTGCAGTCCTTTTTCTTATCTTTTTTTTTTTTTTTTTTTTAACAAGGCATCTTATCTTCTTTCTAATGCAATTGGGATTCTCTCTCTGGCTGGAAGATGTTTGATATCTGCTTTAGGTCATCACAGTTGCTGATTTTCTGTGGTGGATTATTTATTGGCCAGAATTTCACATTTAACTGTGTGCCCGGGTTTGCTTTGTGATTGCACAAACATGTTGACTAATGAAAAAGTTAATCTATTTGCTTTATTCACCCCTCTTGGTGTGTAGAAGATGCAAAATGCATCCTGCTTCTCTGCCAGTGTGAATGCTTGGCCACTGCCTTCCCTAGGTTTTCAAAGGAGAACAGCTGTAACTAGCAGAGGGAGGCTTCTCGGGATGCTATGAATCCACATGTCAGGCACCTATCTCTGACACATACTACTGTTCTGTACCCATGGATTATCCTTGACAAAGCCTGGGTTGCTGGTCCTTTGTGCTGTTGCAGTCCCTGCGTGAGGTGATCTCTCCCTACTTGGAGCATGATGCAGTGCAGCTCTGCAGAGGTCTGTGGATATCTCCAGAATTTGAGTGCGTTCTGATTTTGTTGGCTAAGTAACAGAAGGGAAAAGCATGTACAGTTATCCATGAAAGAAAGAAATATTTGCTAGAATGCTTTAGCTTTTGTATTATAAATGTCTTCTCAACTACAAGTAATTACGGATGAGGAATTTCAATATCATCTTTATTATTGAAGTCGCTTTCCAAAAAGTCTTAAATTATTCAGTACTCAGATACTGTCCTATGTCATTTACCAAATCAGAAAATGTGCATGAACCTTTTATTAGCTAAACAAAAGTTATCAGTCAGATTAGGATTTTTTAAATTGTTCACGTTTCTATGGTTTTTTGTAAGTGCTGCAGGTTCTTGTATTTCAGAACAAACCCACTCTGACAATGGGGTGGTGCTGAAGGTTTTCGGTGCTTGTTGACGGTGATGGGTCTTTTTGGACCAGGAACATGGGAGGTAGACAGTTGAGTTTTGGATCCTGGATAGGTGAGGCATCACATCTTTCCTCTTTTGAGCAATGCTGGAGATTACTTTGAAATCTGGTTCCAGGTTGAACTGCCTGAGAGCAACTAGTTGCCTGACTGCAATATTTGGATAAGCCAACGTTCTGCCAAAATGGTCTGTAAACACAAACAATATGACAACACTAAAATGGTCATCCTGCTCCAGGGTTAACCCATCTGAATCTGTCTGCTGCTATAGGCATTTAACACTGAGTTGGTTATACTGAGTTCCTCTTTTGAAAGTAATTTTTGCTGCTAATGGCTTTAGAAAAGAATTTGAGCCATGCTGCTTTTAGCAGAGGGTGTTATTTCAAACATGGTTGTGTGCAAAACAAAACTAATAAAATGGATTAAATATAACAGTTTCAGGTGACAAGGGTGCAGAAACGTGTAGACCTGGATGAAATTGGCAGTTCAGCCAGGACAGTGGGATCCATAGAGTTACAACTGCCATTTGTGCTGCCCCATGAAAGGAAGGAAATTCAATGACCAAAGTGAAACTAGAATTGTACGAAAGGCTTTTATTACCTGAAATGTTTGAGCTGCTGCTCCTTACTGTCTTTGAAGAGTTTTTATGACTAAAAGTTGCACACTGACCGCTGGGTCAGGCCCAGGAAAAGGGGGTAGGGTCTTCAGTGAGGCTGCTGATGACCTTGGAAGCCTTTTCTAGTCCAGTTTAGGGTAACTGATTTTATATTCTAAAGTACTTGTGATCTAATAAGACTGACCAGAGTTTTGTTCTATGTGGAGGTGTGGTAACTGCACATCCACGGTCTCATTTCAGGATTTAAAATAACCTGAGGCAAAATCTTTTTTTAATATTTAAAGCTCAAAAATGTTTCTTGTGCCTGCTGGAAAGCGCAGTCTCTGCATCGTGCTTCACTACTCTCAGCTAGTGGATATACTAAAATATATAGATACAGGTCTGTCTGCTTTATATGCAGCTGTTGAAGCGACTTTGTATCATCCTGACAAAGGATGACTGGCTGCAATGGTCAGTAATGACCTCAGTGCTTTATGGTAGCTCCACTTGGACTGAAGACTGTTTGGTATACAGTGAAGGCTTCACTAGACTGTCCCAATCACTGTGCTAATTCCCTGTGAAAGGAGCAGATTATGTTCAAGGTCCTGATGACCTGTTCAGAGTCCTGTCTTGGGCAGCCCTTATCTCAAGAACCACTTCTCCCTCTGATAGTGATAAGGGGAAAGTCATCGTCAGTGGCAGGAGGGATCTGTTGAAGACATGTGACTTTAGTATTCCCAAAAGGCTTGATACCAGCATTCAAACCAAATTGTTAGGCCCACTCTTGGGTAGCTTTTCTATGGGAACACATCCATAGAAAATGAGAAGGGAAATTAAATTGTGCTAATATATTTTGAGGCACTAACAAGTGTTTATAGAGGAGTCAGCAATATCTTGGGTGTGGACCAGCAGCTAGGGATGTTAAATTGCATTTAATCAACTCGTCAATGGAATTTCCATCAACTAGTCGACAAGTGGGGGAAAACTGCACATCCGCAATGGGGGTTAACTCCAAGTCCCGGGAGCTAACCCCACTGTGGCTCTGCCTTTTAAATGTATTAAGAACCAGCAGGCTCTTAATACATTTAAAAGGCTGAAGAGCAGTGGGAGAGACCTGGTGTGAGCTGGGACAGCTGATTCCTGGCTGGCTCTTCATACATTTAAAAGGCTGAAGCGCAGCAAGGGGAACCAGGTGCAAGCCAGGAAACAGCTGTCCTGGCTCGCACCTGGTCCCTGCTATTTCCCTGCTATTCCCCTGGCTCCTCCAGCTCTGGCTCCTGCTCCTCCCTCCCCCCTCCCCCAACTGCCTCTTATAACACCCTTTTTTCTCTTAGCCTGAGAGATTTTACCCTTTAAAATTATATTATGGCGCTTGGGTGGTTCTGGGACTAAGAAATAGGATACAAAAACTTTTCCCTGGGTTTGCATTTGATCTAGACTAGCAATGAAAGAAAGTAATCTAGTTTAGGATTTTGTATAGCTCTACATTGTAGGATCCAAGTGCAGGACAGTGTCTGTAGTGGACTTTATGGCATTTTCTACTCTCATCTCCCACCTTCTAGGAATCTCTGTATTCTCCCTCTAGTTCTGGTAGAGAAGCTTTAGCCAACCTGTGGGGTCCTATAGCATATTCTTATTACCTTTTGTTGTCTATTGGACTGTGTTTACATAACTTATTATCTCCTTTTCTAGTAGCCAGTACAGGCCCCTCTTCTGGGCCTCTTAAATTCTGGCAACTTTCATGAGCACTCACATTTGTTCAAAATTTAGTAATTTTTTTTCTTTACATTATAATTAAACTAAGTTGAAACTTCTCCCTATTAAGTCAGTGGGAGTCACAAAAATGTGACACTAAAAATGACGCCATATTTTTCCTGAGAGAGTTGCATTGTTGGAAATAAAATTGGATTGCTATTAGCACTGTAGCTCTACTATGGTTTGGGGAAGTGTGAGCTTATTCTCTTAATGGGCAATTGTCCATGAAGTTCTCATTTTGTAACTTCTGTTACTTTCTATGATGCATGAAGAGGAAAGACATGAAGAGGTAGCTTGATCTGGATGCTGTTGAGAGAATAAATATTGGAGTACCCTGGAGGATGAAAACTCTTGTTTTGCAGCAACTGTCAAAGTTTACAAATCTGTTCTTTTGCCTTGGAATGACAATAAAACCTTTCCAAAGTTTTCACACAAAAAATGCATGTATGCATTAACCACTCTCTGCAGTCTGGTCATTTAGGTGTTGGGCTGACGTGGAAATCCCAGACGGAAGTCTGTATTCTGCCTGATTCAGAGCAGTTATGCATCCCAGTGCAACCTTTTGTCTAGACTTTATTCTGATCTTGCTTAGAAGACAGAATTTAGAATGGCAGGCATGCCTTAAGCTGGAAAAACATTTCCTTCTGTCATCTCCTATGGGAGAGAACTGGAACAGGTCTTAGAATGATTGTAATTCTTCAGATATAATTGTATCCAGCCCCATACCAAAGTTGTGCCTCATTTGTACAATGAAAAATGTCCAGATTCAGCTTCTCACCACCACCTGGATTTGATTATTTAAGTTAATTTTGCATGTAGAGAGACTTAAAAAATGTCATTGCAAAATAAAGCAAGTCTTTATATAAGCAGCAGAAAATTCAGTAATTTTAATAATCTAGACATTTTGACTGCGTCTAGACTGGCAAGTTTTTCCGCAAAAGCA